GAGGACAACTCAGAGTGACAGGGTTCTTCTCCTCGAGTATTTTATGGATTATTGCTGCAAAAGAAACAGACATTAAATTAGCATCTGTTCTCACAATGTCAGTATTTCTAATATTGCATTGAACAAACAGTTTACTATCAGAGTCACAGTCAACTGTTCAAAATGGCGCCCATTGTGGTCGACGTGTTTGCTTCAGTCTCCCGACGTAAACTTTGTTTGTTTATTTTTGTTACTGTGCATCTTACACGCACAGCTCATGTGTGCGACAGTAAGATACAGCACCACCTGTTGGACTTTGACCTTCTCCTACACCTGGACCGGCAGGACACAGCAACACCGGTGAGCCCACGGCGGAGATGAGGCAAGAGAGGGGGGCTACATGCTAGGCTAAAGGCTAGAGCTACACGACCACCGCTACCTAGCCTGCTGCTGGCTAATGTCCACTCTCTTGAAAATAAGATGGATGAGCTGAGAACTAGGACTACAACTCAGCGTGAGATAAGGGAATGTTGTGCTCTTATTCTCACTGAGACCTGGCTCTCGGACAGCGCACCAAACTCAGCTCTCCTGCTCCACACACACTCCATCCACCGCGGAGACCGCACAGAGGCCTCGAAGTAAGACCAGGGGAGGCGGTGTGTGTACATTAACAACAGATGGTGTGGGGATGTGTAGGTTGTTGAAAAGCATTGTTCACCGGACATTGACCTTGTAATGATAAAGTGCAGACCCTTGTATCTACCAAGGGAGTTCACCGCTGTGTTTCTGCTCGCTGTTTACATTACCCCGATCACGTGACCGTGCTGGGGATGCTACAGGACCCCATCAGCAAGCAGGAGACTGCACACACAGATGCCGTCTTCATCGTGGCTGGTGATTTCAACCACTGCAACCTCAGGAGCGTCCTACCAAAGTACCATCAACACGTGAGCTTTCCTACGAGGGAGAGGAATACTCTCGACCAAGTGTACAGCAACGTGAAGAACGCCTACAAGGCTGTGCCTCGGCCACACACTTTGGACTGCCAGACCACATCTCAGTGTTCCTCTACCCAGTTTACAGACAACTCCTCAAACGAGCCCACCCAGTAAGTAAAAGTATTAAAGTGTGGAATGAAGAATCTGAACTGGTGCTTCAGGACTGCTTTAACACTACAGACTGGGGTGTGTCTAAAACTACTGCTCTGAGAGGGGACAGCACTGTGGACCTACAGGAATATGCTGCAGCTGTAACTGGCTACATTAGCATATGCACTGAGAACATTATCCCCACTAAACGCTGCAAGACCTACCCCAACGACAAACCCTGGATTAACTGTGAAGTGTGGTCCATGCTACGTGCTCACTCTGCTGCATTTGTCTCGGGTGACACTGAGGACTACAAAAAGGCCAGATATGACCTGCGGAGATCAATCAGACAGGCCAAGAGACAATACAGAATGAAGCTGGAGGGATATTACACCACCTCTGATCCCTGGAGCATGTGGCAAGGTCTGCAACACATCACAGACTACAAACAGAAGAGTTTGGGGGCCTCAACCAGCAGAGTCACACTACCTGATGAGCTCATCAAATTCTACGCTCATTTTGAGGCCCTCAACACCAGCTGACAGGGAGTGATTCTGGCCACAGAGGGCATACTGGACACACCACTCTCTGTGTCACCAGTAGAGGTGCGCTCCGCTCTGAGAAGAACAAACCCACAGAAGGCAACTGGCCCAGATAACATCCCCGGGCGTGCACTTTGTTCATCAGAGCTGACAGAGGTGTTGACAGACATCTACAACCTGTCCCTCGCTCAGGCCTCGGTCCCCACCTGCTTTAAGGCCACCACCATCGTACCCCTCCCAAAGAAAGACACTGTTACCTGTTTGAGTGACTATTGACCTGTTGCACTCACTCCGATTGTGATGAAGTGTTCTGAAAGGAAAGTCATGACTAGGGGTGTCACGAAAATCGATCAAAATTACATCTAAATCTCAAACTTCGAACTCAAAGGTAGCCCTCCAGCTCCTCATCTGGGATGGTATCTGCTTGCTGCTCCTGGGCGGCACTAGAAACAAAACCAGATACTGGGATAGGACATTGTGGAGGTCATGAGTCCTGAGCCCCCCACTAAGGGGGGTGTTTTGGGGGACATGGACATAGAGAAATGAAATAATAACTTGGAAAGTTAATTAAAGTGGGCAGTACAGTATACAGGGTTGCATCGTCAATAAATTAGAAATATCAATGGACAAAGTTCATTTATTTCAGTACTTATTCAAAAAGTGAAACTCGATATATCATATAGATTTCATAACACACATTGGGAAATTTTTCAAAGCTTTATTTCTTTTGATGATTTACGGGCTTTATAGCTATACCAAAGAAACCAAAATTTCATATATTTCATAAGGACCAATACATTTTAATACAGAGAATGTCGGACTACTTCAAAAGTATGTTATATATATTGCACTCAGTACTGGGGTCGGGCCTCCTTTTGGCTATGAATTCTTCCATCAATGCAGCGGGCATTTTGGGAGGTGATCAGACTGGGTTGGCACGGGCCGAGTGTTTATGATCCAGGGTTGTCTTTGATTAGTGGCCTTCAGTGGTATCTGCATTGTTGGGTTTCTTGGTGTCTCATCACCTTCCTCTTAGACAACAGGGGTCCAGTAGATTCTTATATGGGGTTCAGGTCAGTGGAGAGTTTGCTGGCCCATCAAGCACAGTAAAACCTATGATAAATCTAGATACCCACTGGTATTGGTACTTTTGGCTAATATGGGCAGGTGCCAAATGAAATTCAGCATCTCATTAAGGTTTCAGGCAAAAGGGAACATGAAGTGCTCTAAATGTCCTGAAGAGGGATGGCTGAAGGTTGCTGGGGTGACTTGATAAGAACACAGTGGACCAGACCAGCAGGGGAGTGACATGGCTCCAAATCATCACTGGAGTGGTGGAAACTTCACACTGGGGACTAAAAGCAACTTGGATTCTGTGCCTTTCACTCTTCCTTCTAGACTTTGGAGGGAAGAGGCTTGATTCCCTGGACTGTGGGACCACTGGAGAACAGATCCATCCTTTTTCTCCTCAGGCACAGGTGGGAGACGCTTGCTGTTCAGTTGTAGCCATTGTCCTGCAGACACACTGGGTGGTGTGTTGGTTGGCTCTTTGGATGCACTCAGCCTCAGGGGGTCCACTCTTTGGGGAAGTGTCCCCCACATTCTTGAATGGGTGCTTCACAATCCCTCTCCAAAGGCTGCGGTTATCCCTGCTTGCTTGTGCACCTTTTCCTAGCCATACTTTTTCCCTGCCACTCAACTTTCTATGAATATGCTGTGGATATTCGCTTCTTTAGCAATGAGCTTTGTGGCTTTCCCTCCTTGTTGGAGGGTGGTGACTATCTACTATTATTCTAATTTTCTGAGATCTGGATGGTTTTGTTAGCTGTAAGCCGTAATCATCAAAATTAAAAGAATAAAGGCTTGAAATATTTCACTGTGTGTTATGAAATTATATGATATATGAGTTTCACTTTTTGAATTGAATTACTGAAATAAATGAACTTTTGTCATGATATTCTAATTTATTGAGATGCACCTGTATATAATTGGACACAACTTGGTCTAATGCATTTGTTGTTTTAAATGTATAACCTACCATAACACTTCGGCAAATTTGAAGCGCAGCATGCTGACCTCTCTACTTGCACCTAGAACAGAAAGCAAAACGCAGGATGCTTAAGAGTTTTCACTCGACGACAAATTCATTCATTATGTGGTAGGGTGTCAAGGATTTCGATTTTTAAATCGAAATCGATCGAAATTACATCTCAATCTTGAAACTCAAAGGTAGAATCGACGATGCAGCCACACCCCCGATGTTT